CTTAAGATCAGTATCTTAAGTATGTGCTTAAATGGTATCAATAGCAATTAGGGGGGATTCTGATTCCACCCCAGATGCAGTAACTGTTACAGCATCGATCCGCTGGCCGGGCCCCTTCTCCGAAATAAGCCCCGTCCGGAGGGGTGAAGGGCGCCCGCCCTGCTGCCGCAGCGAACCTCGCATCGAATGCATCGGGGAAAAATGGCAGTTGTTGCAGAATCCGTCCAGAAAGATTTTTTTCTTCCTGGGAGTAATTAAAAGATGCTTTCCTTGACTAATGACCCCCCGCTCCGGAGCGGGAAGTCGATACAGCTCCGCCGCAGACAGCTGCCATTGACCCCGGCGCTGCTCGAGCCTGACGCCAGTGCCCAGGGCGGCCGCGGCCCTGCAACCGATTACGAGTCCCGGGGCCGCCCCGCGTGGCCGGCCGGGGTCCCAGCGACCCTCCGCCGGCACCTCCCTGCTGGGGGGCCGACTGTCTCTCTGCGGGGAGCTGCTGTTCAGACCCGCTTCCTCACTCATGGTCAAGTGCGTGTGTGAGTGAGCGTGTGAGTGTGAGCATGTGAGTGAGCGTGAGCTTGTGTGAGCGTGAGTGTGAGTGTCTAAGTGAGTGTGTGTGAGCGTGAGTGTGTGTGCGAGCATGTGAGCGTGAGTGTGTGTGCGAGCATGTGAGCGTGAGTGTGTGTGAGCGTCAGCGTGTGAATGAGCGTGTGAGCTTGTGTGAGCGTGACTGTGTGAGTGAGCGTGTGTGAGCGTGAGTGTCAGAGTGTAAGCATGAGTGTGTGAGTGTGAGCATGTGTGTGAGCATGAGTGTGAGCATGTGAGTGACCATGTGTGCTTGTGTGTGCATGTGTGTGAGCGTGAGTGTGTGAGCAGGAGTGTGAGCGTGAGCGTGTGTGAGCGTGTGTGCGCGTGAGCGTGAGCGTGTGCGTGTGCGCGGTGGGGGAGGCCCCGCACGCGGCTACTGCTATCCCAGCGTCAGGATGACTCCTGCGCGCGAGCGAGCGGGTGCACGGAGCTTCTCGGGAAGGCAGCTGGGCCCTTTTCAAAGGATTAGACTGGATATATTGCACTTGGCTTTGCCTTGGGCAGAGCTAAAAATTTATTAAAACATTTCTTTCTAGTGTCCCCTCAGGGCCACATTAAGAGAGCACTCCAGCTGTTCCCGCCAACCGGTCTGCAGAGGGAACCCCGGGGCGGGCGTGGGTGGGGGCAGCGGGCGTCGTGACCGGGCAGACGGCCACTCCCGCGCCACAGACGAAGCCACGCCACGCACATTCTGCCCCGAACCTTGAGTTTCCAGGTCTGCCCCAGGGAGCCTGGGAGAGCGGAGGGTGTGGGCGCTGGGTGTGATGTCATCGCACCTGGTGCCCCCCCACTGTTGAGAGCCCCAGGTCCCGTCCACGCGTCACCTGCTGCGGCCCTCAGCCGGCCACCTGGCCTCGCGTCCCATGGCCGCAGGCACCACACACGGGCACTCACACTCCTCACGGCTCGGGCCGCCACGTCGCTGGCACTGTCACGTCCGCTAGAAAGCGCTGGCCTCTGCTGTGCTGGGCCTGCCCCGTCCGGGTCCTGCTGTGCTGGGCCTGCCCCGTCCGGGTCCTGCTGTGCTGGGCCTGCCCCGTCCGGGTCCTGCTGTGCTGGGCCTGCCCCGTCCGGGTCCCCCGGGCCCAGCCCCCGCCGCCCTCCTCTCTCCGCCAAGGCCACGTCCACCCTGTCCCCCCGACCAGGGTAGCACTCTCTGCTCAGGTCCAGCCCTGCGAGACTTCCCTGGCCACGCTGGCTGGAGGAGCCCACCTCCAAGAAGCTCACGGGCGCTGCCCGACGGTCTCCGGCCACCGGGAGTCACGGCCGCCCCCCACAGCCCGAGTGGCGCAGAGGAGGGCTGGCTCCTTTCATTCCACGCGGAGCCGCCGGGGTGAGTCGGGGGCCCAGCTCTCCTGGGCTCACCTTCTGAGATGGAGCCCATTTGCGAAATCCCAGGCACCTCCGGCCACGCCAGGGGCCCCGCCCGCA